AGATCACTAGTACTTAGATGAAACAAAAAGCATGTATGGCCCATATTTCGGAGGAAATTGATGGAGAGATTTTGAAAGTTTTGCTGCAGTTATGCCATAGGTTTCGCTTAGGCAAGGTAAGCCTGATTCTGAGGTCCTGAGAAAATCAGCATGTCAAGCAAATGTCTACAAACTCTATGTGACTGAGGAGAGTTTGTCACTTGATTTAAAGACCTTATGTTTACATGTATTTTACAAAATAAAATGTTTTAAAGAACTTATGGAAATCATTTCAAACTTACCGAAATGTTTCAAAATAAAAAGTACAAAGATGACCATGTGTCTTTTTTCAAGATTCACCTGTTGTGAATGTTTTCCTACATTTGTTTATCATGCATTCTCTAACTTTGTTTTGGTCTTCTTCATGGATTATTTAGGGTAACATATATACATCATGGATCCCAGACTCTAAATACTTCAGTGTATTTTTCCTCACAATTGGGAGAGTATTTGCATTCGATATATTTTAAACAATTTAACACCTGCTCCCTCACATGAATTGCCATTTTGTCAGTTCATCTAATAATGTCCAATAGTGTACTTTCCCTTTCTGGTACAGGATTCAGTCTGAGTTCTAGTATTGTATTTTTTGTCATGGCTATAGCCTGCCTTAAACTGAAGCATGAAGTAATCTTTCACTAATGAGTCTTATTCATCTAATATTGTAAGCTTTGAGGTCAATATCTTGATGAGTTCTGCATATTGTTTATATTGGGCTAGAACAGTGTCTGGTACATAGTAACTCTCAGTAAATAAATGATGAATTCATGCATTTTTGTGGATGAGCATATCTTCTTAAGAGGATTTGGCATAAATGAATTACACTGGTCTTTGCATTTTGAAAGCATTCATGTCTTAACAATCTCTTTCCATGCAAATAACGCAAGTGGGGTTTTGTGAAACTAGATTTGCTTTTATGTGAATATATGCGCTAGTATGTGTAGAGCTTAAGTTTTCTTCAAGCTCCCACCTCTGCTACTCCTTGACCACACCATTATTTTAAATCTTTCCCATCTCCTTACTAACTTAAGATTCTTAGTGTTGCTGGAAAGTGAAATGGAAACTCAAGCTTTTTTGACATAAGGGCTGGCATTCCATGTGACTGTCCTCCGGGTCATGTAAAACATTTGCTTTCTGCATCAAGGTTGCAACAATTTTGAGTGCTCAGATACAACTCAGTTATGCTAAAAAAAAAAATGCACACTGTGTTCTCTGTCAACGTGCTGACTGACAGAATGTCCAAGTGGTAGGAGGCTCACTCCCATGATTTCAGTCATAGTTCTGTGAATGGAGCACCTGGGAAAGCTGCCCATCAGTCGCTGAAATCCCACCTTCTTGCAGGGAATCCATTATATCATTCCCACATTGCCTCTGATGGAGCGGAAGACAGGCCCAGCCTCCTGCTAGCTATGCCAATGACCTCATTTTAAGGACTCCTTGGGAGAGTCCATGTCTTAATGCCAAAAACCTACTTACTATTCTACTCTTCCTATGAAACTAGGATCAAAACTACCAAGGGTAACAAAGGTAACTTGCTTAAAGAAATATAAATTAAACAGTGCTGGGATCAAACTTTACATACAGTTTCATTTTATGTAAAGACAAAACTATAAATAATGAATGACTGAAAAGAGTAATGTCGAAGTGTTTGTAGTGGTGACTTTCAAGGGGTTGGACTATGGGTGATGTAGTCTCTGCTCTTTCCTTCTTGTCTTTTTGGCCCCAAGAAACATATTTCTTCAATGATCACAAAAAAAGAAATTTTCAAATGGTATATTTATATGGCTTCACATTTAAAAGTAAAATCTAAAGAAGTTGGTTGAAGTTTCAAGCCATTTTGTATCTTAGTTTCCCCATACACCAGGTGGGCATGATAATGCTAGTTATCAACTCTTGAATGGCAATACATTAGATAATTATATCATATGCTTGAATTTCCTCAAAAGAATGTGCTTGTTTTTAATATTATAATAACTGCTATAGTTATCTCAGAAGGAACTCCTTCCCTTACCTCTCTATCAATCATAGACAGGGAAAGTGTTATAAATCTTGACTGGCATCTTACCTGCTATTTTAAAAGTCTAACCTAGTGGGATGCCAAAAGAGGGTAATTTTTAAAATGAAGAGCCTTAGAGCTAATCTCCATCTGACATGTGCTTCAAACCCTCACTTGTGTTGAAAGAAGTGCTTATTAAGGAAAGACTTGACTCCCTGCCTCTCATTCCTCCTCCCCCACCTCCAGGAGAAACCTGCTACTCCACCAGCACCACTGCTTTCAACTTCTGAATTTATAAATGCAAGGACCCCCTCAGAATATGATGTATCCTTGCAGAATGGTCTGTGGGAAAAGAAGAGTGATTGACAACTGTAGAAATTACATCTGAGATTTAGTCCTGCAGGAAAAGGGGATACAAATTGCTTGCAAATAATCTGCAAGTCCCTGATGAGTCTGAGGAGAAAATTTAAGAGGTTTTTGGTCTCTTTAACAAACATGCTCACATATCTTCTCCTGCTACAATGTACAGACACTTGAAAGAAATTGTTTCTGTAAAAAAGGCTACTTTTGTTCCTTATCCTCAAAGGTGGTGATAGTAACCACATATATGCCAATTGATAGACTTTATTGTGCACCAAGAGTGAAGAAGTGAATGAGCTCTGACCCATGGCTTTAGAATCTTAAGAAGAAGTTAGGTTTTATGCTAAAAAAAAACCAACCCATATTGTATTAACTTTATATAGCACAAATTAAATGATCTGTAAAAATTTGCACTGTTGATTTTAATAACTATGTATTATTCAAAAAGAATGAAATACAGTAGAGAAATATTAACAGTAATGATGGTTGATGCCTAGAAGTCTAAGACAAACAAATTATACACCTTTTCTAATTGAGAATACACAGTAAGTATGAGACCCTAGGCTTTGGAATTAACCCTCTGCCTTTGCATATGCCTGGTTTGTCTTTCTAGGGCATAATGCTACTCAAAACATAATCAAGAAAACCAGCATCTGTCCAAACTTTTTGTTGAATGTTTTCTCCTTCTCCTCCTTCTCCTTCCTCTCCCCGTCCCTGCCTCTACCTCTTCCTTTTCTTTCTTCTCCCTTTTCCTTCCCTTCCCTCCCCTCCCCTCCCTTCCCTTCTCTTTGTCCTTCTTGTTCTTCTTGTTTGGATTGAACCTGATTTCAGTAGCCTTGCACAGGCTAAGCAAGTGCTCTACCACTGAGGTGCATCCACTGTCCCCTCCCCTGCCCTCAACTTTTTAAAAATTTTATTTTGAGACAGGATCTCTCTACACTGCCCAGGCTGGTTTCAAACTTGTGACCCTCCCTGCTCAGCCCGCTGAGTAGATGTGATTACAGATATGTGCTATCACCTCAGGCTCTATTACAGGTTTTCGTGCATTAAGTACAGAAATGGAAAGAAAACATTTAGAACATCTCCTCAATTTGTTAGAATAACTGTATTCTATTGAATTTGAAAATAAGAAATTTCCAGCTTTTATTTCATGTCTACATCGTGTGTGTGTGTGTGTGTGTGTGTGTGTGTGTGTGTGTGTGTGACTCACACTTATGACCTTCCTAAGCCTCTGAGATTGCTGGAATTATAAGCTTATACCACCACACCTAGCTGTCTTTTAAATTTTTTTAAAATTTAATCTTTGATTAATTCATTTTCTATATTACAGTACTTTGCTAATTTCTCCCAGACAAATTGAGGGAAAACTGGGTCCTCAGCAGAGATGGTTTGGAAAATACTATTCTAGAAGGCTGCATTATAACTGATGAAGTAAATAGAAGCCACCTTTATATGCATTAGTTTTCTCACCTGGAAAAATAATTTAATAACAGTGTTTGATTTATAGGTCTAGATGTGAGAATTAAAGGGAGGTTGATGAATGTGAAGCAGGCTGCACAGTCCCTGACTTTGGGAAGTGGCCTGCTCAACATCAGTTCTTAGTATTTAGTGAATAAAAAATCTTGAGATGCCATTCTGAATTATATGCACATGGGACACAGTTTCTGTCTGTGATGGCCCCTAAGTGAATGGCCCATCCACACATACCCTTCCTCTGGATCAGGCTACCAGGTCTCACACCAAGAGTTCATTTATAATTGACTTGCATGAAGGGATCCACATTTGACTTTTGGTCTTCCTTGACCTTTCAGTGCAATTACTCTACCATTATAGTGTGAACCCCTTTTGGAATGTTTCCTTTGTTTTCTTAAAGTCATTAAATTTCTGCTCCTCAACAACTCAAGTATTCTGGTCTTTATTATTACTAGGAGACTTTATTAATTTTGGGAATCACAATAAAATGACCTGTCACTCAAGCATGGCAAGTATAGACTTAAACTTTGCTTTAAAAAGAACTATCACTTCGTGTCATGTTTTATAGCACAAATTGAAAAACATGCAATCTCTTCTGGTCAAAGTGGTGAAATAATTTTTTTAATAGTATGTTTTGGCTAAACCTCAAAATTAAAGATCATTGTCCCTTCAACAGGCATCTTGGAGGCCAAAAAAGGTAGGTGTCATTCCCAAGACTAAATGTTTAATTGTGCATAATTCCACCAAAGAGTTTTCAGTACCTTTTAAAGTTACAGCATGGTGCAATAGAGAACATGAAGCTTTATAATTAGACTAACTTGGGTTTAAATTGTGGTTTTGCATTTAGTAGCTTGACCCTTCAGGTAAATCCTTTCTATATTGGAGCCTCAATTTTCTAATCTATAAGCCAGAGCTATAAGATTGACTGCATAAGGTTACTATGAAGATTAAGTGTGATAAAGTATACTGAAATAATGTTGGTCCACAATAGGTGCGCAAATAACATTAATTCTCTATTTATGCAGTTTGTATACCTTAGTAACTTATTTACATTGATTAATACCTTTAACAGAGACTCCTTGAATATAGTCAGACTGCAACAGAATAAAATTAATCCTTCAGTACTTATGTTTTAAAATAGACACTGGATTTGGCAGACTGTTTGAAAATGAGACTTGTTGGAAGGTCAGGCATCCTCAACTCTTTTGACTGTTCCTAAAACTTCTGCTTTAGCATGAACAACTTTCTGAGGCATGTAACTTGGTTCATCCTTACTTTTTAGTCCTTTGTGTGAGTGGCCTTCTTGGAATGACCTGATGCCTCTTTGGTGAATTCCATATTCCTTTAAAATTGTTCAACATTCACATGGTCCAGAAATTGGCAGAAAGGAACCTGGTCACTCTGGTCCATCCGTTGGGGCTATAGGTTCTCTCAGGGAGCTGTACTCGTCCTCACTGTGGCATATATTCTTGGTATGATTTCCTACACCTTTCCCATATTTTCATATTTTTTCCCTCTCTTTCAGATGAGGCTAAAGGTGATATGGTGGACCTGTAGGATCAGAGAAGCTGTTGGTAGCTCAAGATGATACATTTTGTAACTGATTTTATTTATTTATTTACTTTTTTCCTCATTGAGTTTATTGGTACATTTTAGGAATACAGTACAGTTACATTCATTATTGGGATCTTGTACCTTTACATGACAGGTCTTGGTTCTCATTTTTCCCCTTGTCCCTGCCCTCCCTTCACCCCTCCTTCCTCCCCGTCTACAAACACTTCATTTCCATTTCTTCATTTTGTCATATTTTTCTTTTCCCTTATAGCTTTCCCCTACCCTTCCCACTTCCCCTACACCTTTAGCCCCTTTCTTCCTATTTCACACTGTCAATTATCTCATTAGGATCTTATGTACTATTATAGTTTATTCACACCAGAGAAACTATTCAGTATTTATACATGTGTGACTTATTTATTTCACTTAGGAGTATATCCTCAATAGTTGGGCTGATTTTAAACAGGTAGCCTGTTCTTTTGGTTTTTAGTTTGGTGTTTGTATTTCACAACCTCGCTTCACATAGTGGGGGAGATGGTGCTATTGGCTGACAGATTTGGAAATCTCTAGGAATCATAGCAGATGAGGATCTTAGGGTGTGATGAGAGAAGGCAGCAGGATAGAGGAGAGTAAGGGAGGGAGAAAGGATGCCTCAGAGAAATAATCTGCTAATCCCAACTATTTCACATTGTAAGAAAGAAGAAGCCAATTAAACAACAAAACATCTCTGTTCTGCTTCTATTTTGTGCTTACTAAACAATACTACTGTTACGGCTAATGAAAATTACAATATAACAGTGCTTTTCTTCCAGCACTAACTCTAAACAATCTACTGGATTTGTGTCAAATTTGTAAACTGGTAACATGTTAAAAACAGAAACACAAACCTGGCATTTTCCTTAAGAGTTGTGAGAGTAGTACAGGACAAGAGCCAGAAAACACAGTCACTATAAAAATAACTAGTGCAAACATCCTTGAACTGATGTTTTCTGTAAAAGTCTGATGGCTGTGAATTGGAAAGAGTGAAGTTGCGAATGGGGAAAGACACGGGGGAATCAAGCGGTGCCTGCTTATTGTCAGCAGGCTCTCGTGTAAAAGTCATGGCAGGGTCAGCAACAAACTAGCCAGGTGGCAACTCCAGGCCACACTGCCATAAATAAACAGTTATGTACCAATGTCACACAACCAGGGCTAGATGCAAAGCATATGGGAAGAAAACATTCGGATGTAAACATTCAGACAAAAATGATGGTTGCTGAAGTTAGAAGCCACTGTTGCTCCTGGATTTTGAGAAGCCTGAGTAAATAGTGATACATTTCTTAAAATCCCAACTAAAAGAGTCTTTGAAATGTAGCATATTTCCAAACAAAACAAAACAAAACAAAACAAAAACCCCTTAACCTTTGGCTTAGGAAAGTGTGACTATTTGATGGAGTAATTAAGTATTACTGAGAGTTGGCAAGACCAGACTCTGGAGCAAAATTTCTGGAGTTTAATACTCAGCCCTGCTTCTTGTTCTCACAACCTTTGGGGAGTTCCTCAACCCTTTCATTCCTTAGTTTATTCAGTCTGTACAAAAGGGAAGAGGGGGATGACAATGGCAGTAGAACCTACATCACACGAATTTACCGGGATTAGGTTAGTCTTTACATGGAGAGCCTGTAAAGCAATATCTAGTAAACAGACCCTATCAATTTTTATCAAGTAGGTTATTTTATATAGACTATTTATTGGACACTATCATAAGCAATCCTTTATTTGTATCATCTTATTTAATTTAAAGACAGCTCTGTGGGTTAAAATTTAATTTTAATTAGACACACTAATCAAGGCTTTGAAGGATTAAGGAATTTATCCAAGGAGTCATATCTAAACTACACTTCCAACTTTCATTGAAAAAAAAAATTTTTAAAACTACTTACACGTTCTCTAAGATCTGACCTTTTTCTTTCTTCCTTTGCTTAAAATGTAAGATTTGAAGAAAAGACGCACAACACATGGCCCTGTAAGAACCAAATGGATTTTTTTAAAAAAGGGATGAAAGAGGAGCGGAAATTTTCAGTAAATTGCCTTGAGAGCTGAAATCCATTCACACACGAAGAAAACAAAAGATTAACTTCGTGATTCATTTCTCCAAATATTTATTGGGTGTCTAGATTTTTCTGAGAGCTCCGTGAGAAAGAGGGTACGATTTCAGTCCTTGAGCATCTAACTGTAGGGAGTGAAAGCGGTATTCTTTACTGTTGGTCGTCTGATGATATGGGGTTTAAGTCTGTTTCCCAGTTAGGACAAAACTGCCTTCCACTGGAGCTGCTGAAGTTGTGTAAACAAACAGCAGCAGAAGTGAAGGTTCCCCGCGATCCCAGCGGATCTCCAGCGCGGCCCCAGCGCAGAGCAAAGGCCGACGCTTCGGTGCAGAGCCCGCCCCGCTCCGATCCACAACATAGTGCGCCTGGAAATATTCAAAACACGCGCTCAGGCAGAGGCTTTCGGGGGTTCAAACTGCAGGTGGGTGGGTTACCACGTGTGACCTGTCCTGGTAGGTGCAGTAGGCCTTCCTGGCTCCTGACAACAGGCACAGCGCGAACTCCAGAGCACCTCTGGCTGACCAACCCCAGGTGGCCGACTCCGGGGATACCTGCCGCCTAGACTCAGGCACCCGGACCTCCTTCGCTACTTCCTGCTTGGTTTGCCCTTACCTGACATGGCGCCTAGTTGCCTTCAGCAGCGCCTTTTGCGGCTGCTCAGAAAACACTGGTAGGGCGATCCGGGCTACAGCCCGCCCCTGCTTCGGAGGTGCCTGGTGAAGGTTGGGACCCAGAGTGTCTCCGCCCCGCCTGTGCAGCTAGGATTGTGCTTCTGGGAGGGTAAGGACAGGCCAAGGAAGACAGGGACCCCTAGTCGTGCCTCTCTTTGCCTTCCCCCTCGTCTCCCGGCCCGAGGGCTGCCCCAGCCCAGGGTGTTTTTTCCTTGTCCCTGTCACCACCCGTCCCTGGCCCAACATGATACTGACCAAAGCCCAGTACGACGAGATAGCCCAGTGCCTAGTGTCTGTTCCGCCCACCAGGCAGAGCCTGAGGAAGCTGAAGCAGAGGTTCCCCAGGTAAGTGTCCCTCTTACCCCCTCATGGCCCTTCGCCTGCAGCAGCGGTGCCTTGGCAGCCTAGACAGCTCTTAGGAGCCACGTGTCACACATGAGAGTGGGGAGGAGCACCAGTCTGAACGCTTGGCAGGTCAAGGATGGCGGGAGAGCTTTCTTCTTTCACCCGCTTTCCACTCAGAACTCCTAGTGGCCTCCCATAGGCCTCGCAGTTCAAGTCAACCCATGTTTACTGAAAACTTGCTATATGTTTGGGAGAGGGGCGCACTTAGGAGGTGTCCAGGGATGACTGACCCATACTAGCAATGGACCACGTGCGACAGTGTCTTCACAGAGTGAAAACAGGAGTTGTAGTTTCAAAATGAGCAAACGAGGCCCCTTTTCAGTTAGCCACTGGAGATAAAAAAAGGGAGCATCTGCCTGAAGGGGTGCTGGAGGTAGACTGCAGTAGGTGCCTCGCGGGTTCCCAGGCCAGGGAGACAGACTAGATGGGAATAAGGTTTCCTCTCAGATGTCTGCACATTCCAGGTGTATTTCATGTCTCTCTTTCCCCCCAAGCACTGCTTTTTTTCAGTAATTTTAGAATTATCCGTTTTTTTGTTTTTTTGTTTTCCTAACAAAAGGACTTTAGAAATTAAATAGATTCCTCATTTTAAAGATGTGAAGACTGAGACCCGAACATAACATGAATAAGCAGTTCAGGACAACCAAGTTCTTGTATTTATGCTGGGCTCAAAGTACAGAATGTTTGTTTACTATTTTTTTTTCTAACACAAATCCAAACAAACTTTTAGTTTCATGGCACTGAGCATGGCTATCTCTAAGAAGAGCTTCCCATGATGTCTAACGCTTGACCAGAGACATCCCGTAGAAGTTATTAATTTGATTTTAAGGAAAGAGTAGTGTTTCGATACTAGATGTTAAAATACACATTGAGGTTTAGGTGGAAGGTCTTTTAATTACTTCAGCTTTTTGGTCTTAGTCTATTATCTCAAGGAGTCTCTTTCCAATATTAGCCAGGTTTAATTTAGGGTAATATTTATCTCTTCATAGTCTTCAAGATGTTATCAGACTTCCTAACAAGGAACAGAATTGACAGATTGGAATTTAATCAGTAACGTGGGTGAAAGTTGGACATTAGATTTTAGTGGGCTGTTTTTGAATAGAGCATACATTTTTTTGGTATTCTGATGTCATTGTGTACATGTATTTTTACTTTGTATTTTTGCATCTTTTTCTCTTCCACTCTCTCTTTTTCTCTTTTTTGTCTTAACCTCCTGGGTAGTATTCTTTTTTTTGGTACCCGGATTGAGCTCAGGTTCTTGCGCTTGGCTTGCGAGGCAGGTGGCAGCACCATTGAGCTAAATCCCTGCTCACCTCCCAGGTAGTCTTATCGGTAGTCTTATCAGTGCGTTAGAAAGGCTTCCTTCTTGTGGACACCATACATTCAAGATTACTCTTTTTTGCCTTTTTCTTTCCTATTCATTATATGCCTAAAAACTTTCCACTTCTTCCAAATATAGTACCATTCAGGGAATAATTCTCTCTCCAGGAAACTGTTTAGAGAGCCCAAACTAATGTGTAAAAGAAGGAGTGGAAAAGCTATTTAGTTAATTGGGTCAGAATTTTATAAATAGTGCGATTTTGCAGTTGGTTTCACAGTTTTCACAATATCACTGTTTTACTTTATGTGAATGTTGCAAAGGTCTTAAACACCTTTGAGATGTAGTAGTTCATTTTATCAGATAGTTGTCAAGTACAGACCTCTGAGATAATTTCTGGTAGATCAGGAGGTTAAATAGCATAAAAATTTCCAAAGAAGTTTAATGACCAAACAGTGTCTACAGTATGTTTTTCCCCCTTTAGTTCTGTACTAAACTACATTAATTAGTATTAATAATAACAATCAAATTTATTTTTTTGATGGGTGCCTTTTTTTTTTTTTTTTTGGTACCAGGGATTGAATTTAGGACCTTGCAATTGTGAGGCAGGTGGTGGCACCACTGAGCTAAGGGTGACTCTTTTTTAAAAAAGTGTGTAACTCTTTTGTTTTTTTGGTTTTTTGTTGTTGCTGTTTTGAGATAGGGTCTTGCTATATGGTTCATGCTGGACTTGAGCTCACTATGTTGCCCAGGGGGGGGCTTTCAACTTACAGCGATCCTCCTGCCTCAGCCTCCTGAGTGCTGGGATTACAGGAGTGCACCACCCCTCCTGGCTAACCTTGTTCTTTTTTTTCGGTAGATTTTACTCCCCCTCTCCAATATGTTTTGAACCTCCTCATCTTTAAAAAAGTCTTAGGAGTTTGTTTCAAATAATCAGCAATATCACAGTCTACATATACTACCCTGTTCCTTATTTTCAAAGATTTTTTATCTAATATTTTATATAATTTATCTTTGTACACATGTAAAATGAGGTCTGCACATTTTATTCCTGTAGACTTCCAGAAATTGGGAATGACCGAATCTTAAGTTCTCAGCCTACTTGGTTTCCAAAGCCCTTAAACTCTGAAATATCGAAGCCTCAAAAGTTTTATGTGGGTTATATCTGTAGATATTTGCTAAAATATGAATTAAAATGAGAAATTAAAAAATTACTTGTTAATTTTTTTCCAAAACGAGTAAGCTCATTACTTCCTATCAGGTTTTATGAATAATAACTAATTTTAATTTTGAAAAAAGTGATAAGTAGATGATATTATCCTAAACTTTTGTGAATCTCTTTAGTGCCTTTACTTAATAAAAGAAAACATATCTATTTCTGAGTTCAAGTTGTTGGGTGCCTCCCGCCCCCACCTCTGGATTGGACTCAGAGCTTCAGGCACTGAGCCACATCGCCAGCCCAATATGTTGTTTTTGATTATGCACTTCGATGATATAAACAACCCCTGTGACACGCAATCCAGGGGTTCCCCACTATTGGATGAAGGAATATTAAGAAACCCTGGCCTCAGATATGTGGTTGGAGAAGAGGACAGTAATTTAATATGCTTTTCAGATAAGTGTGGATACTTTTCTTTTTACACAAACTCCAGTAAATGATATTTTCTTAAAGGTTAATTGCAACAGGGAATCTAAGATTTTATCAAGAAACATTTTACACTGTGTCCTGTGGTACACGCCTATAATCCCAGCACTTGGGAGGTTGAAGCAGGAGGAGTTTGAGGCCAGGCCTGGGCTACATAATGAGTTCAAGCCCAACCTGAACTACATAACAAGATCCTATCTTGGGAGAAAGAAAAAGAAACTTTTCACACTTTTATAACCCATTGGTCTCTTTTGAACTTTAAATGGATCTTCGTCTTTTGCCGATGTATAGTTTTTGTTTGTTTGTTTATTACTGATTGAACCCAAAGCCTTCACACTGAGTTACATCCCCAACCCCTTTTTTCTTTTATTTTTTTTATTTTGACACAGATCTTACTAAGTCACTAGTTTGCCCAGACTGGACTTGAATTTGTGATCATCCTGCCTCAGCATCCCAGGGTACTGGGATCACAGGCATGCGCTGCCATACCCAGACCATATGTGGTTTTTATTATCCTGCATTGCTCATTTGTAAAATGATGGTTGGGAGCTATACAAATTTTCCAAATGTTGTCACCTTTCATTATACAATATAAAAAAAAAAACACATTTGTTAATAGCACCACTGATCTTGTCAGAAGTCTGTATGATTTGAAGTTGTCAAACTTATGGTGATGGATATGAGCTTTCCGATATTTGAATTTTCCCTTGAAAGCTCAAATTTTACTATTGGCAACAAATGCTACCAGTTGTTTTCCTTGAAGTGACAGGCTCACATCATTATTTTCGAGAAAATGTCTGCCAGTTATCCAAATCTGAATAATCATACTTTGTTCATTGTTCATCCACATAGGAATTGTGTTCCATGAAAGAAGTAGCTAGTTTAGCTCTCAAAAAAATAAAGCAAGTGCTCTCCCTGAGCTTTGATAAGTATTTGCTTATTTTAATTAGTGGATGTTTTGAAGTGAACAGTCTTTTTATTTTTTTTCTTTTTTTTTTCCGGGACGTTTGTGACAAGAAATATAATAATTCCAAATACAGTAATGGTGTACTTGTACATTTACAGTATATCAGTATAAATGTCAATACAAGAGAACAAGTAAATGATGTCTTGCTCTTTTTATAAAAATAATTCAGACTTATAGACCCCTGAGAGAGTCTCAGGGACTTGACCAGCCCATCAGCTTCAGTTTGATGTCCACTGGCTACTTCCATGATGGAGTATGTTATGAAGGATTTTAATGGTATTGACAAATTACTATAAAAAAGATGGAACTGATACTGTTGACAGCAGAGCATGGGAGTATCTTGTCTCTGCAACCTTTGCCAGAATTGAGAGGAGTCATTATTAATCTTTAATATGTTGAAGCAAGAATGACATCTTGTAATTAGCATTTTAAAAGTTATAATTCTGCATTTTTCCAAATGTGGTTTGAACATTTAATTTTCTTCTTGAGTACCTCTTTGGTGTCTTCTGCCCAATTTCTACTGGAGTATTTACTGTTATTTATTGGTCTTTCTGTTTTAAGGAAGTGGATCCATTGTGTATCATAGTTTTACAGATATTTTCCCAGTTGTTGCTTTTAAAACTTACTGTTTTTGAAATGTCTAACTCTTATATTTATGCTCATTAAATTTTTTTTGCCTTTATGTTTAGAAAGTCCTGTTCCACCCTAACTGAACATTTTTTCCCCTAAATTATCTTCTAAGTTTTTGTCACTTATTCTTTTTAATGATTCTGGCTGGAAATTATTTTAGTGTATGCTGAGAAATATAGATATAGCTTTTTTTTTCCTCCAGCTTAATTTCCCTCTTATCCTGTAGCTTCTAAAGTAGCCTCACTTCTCTATGGCTTCTTTCTTTTCACTAATATTTTTAAAAATTATATCTTTGTAAGTCATTACATTAAACTTGCACAATCTGGTCTCAGAATCCATCCCTTAAAATAAGGGACTAGGATTTTATGATCTCTGATATCATACAACTGAATAATTTACCTTCATTCAGTTCTTTTCTCTTCTGCAGTTTAATAGTAATGGGCCCTAGAACACAAATGTAT